ATTTTGCTGAAATGTAAACTGTTAATTGTTTAGGATCTGAAGCAGCAAAAAGATTTCGCACACTGCGAACAATATTTGGTCGCCACTTTAAAAAAGTAAGGCTGTCTCAACCTAGATCTGGTGCTGGATCAAACTGGCCCGTTTATCAGCCGTCTTGGCCGCTTTATGAAGAACTGCTTTTTTTGGCTGACGTTATAAAACGCACGTAAATATACTTAAGTTATATTAATTTAGAAATTATTTCTGATAATTTCCTTAAATTAATTATTACAAATTCTTTTTATTTTCAGTACAAAATTAAACATATCTGTTAAGTCAGTAAGTATATTGAAGTCAAGAGGTAACAACCATAACAGGCAACAACGTAATGCAGCTATTGGATTTAACAAAAGTTGGTCACAACCTGGCTCTAGCTCAAGTTCAGCACATACCAGCTCTAGCGCACGTAGTTCAATATCACAATTGCACTCCAGTCCAACCTGTAGCACTCAGCTGCAACAAAATGATACATTCAATGACATGAATGAAGAATGTGATTTGCAAGAATCGAATCAAATAAAAAACATCTTATCTGGCAACGTTACAGGTATTGAATAACTGCATGTATATTAAATTACTGTTTGCCAATTTGTAATATAAAATAATTTATGAAATGTTGGATTTTAGTGAACGACAAGAAATCAAGTACAGACTGCAGTTCTGTCTACAAACATTCCAGAAAGAGACACATCATTCAGACACCATCTCCAGATGATTTCTATCAAAAAAAGAAAATTAAAAATGATGATGACACAAATAATTTAAATAACCTGGCAAGAGCATTAGTTACTATCAGTCAGCAGATGGTTACTCAACCATCCGTTGGAAGTGTTCAGCAAGAAGAGAGAGCATCCAATATAGTTCCAGAGGTAGAAAGTTTCGTGCGAATTATCAATTCAATGTTTCAACAAGTCTGTACACAACAAAGAATACACTGCTTTATCGAAATATTAAATATTTTAAAGAATTACCAAAATAAAAATTAAGTTTTATTTTATTATTGTCAACTTTAAATTACAGCCAACTTCGGTTTTACACACTGAGAGAAAAGATTTTGTTATAGGAACAAATCAAGGGAAAGCAAATGTGATATTTGTTAAAAAAACAATCGATTTGTTACGATTGCAAATTAAATTGTCAATGTAACAAATAATCAATAGTATCGCTAGCAAATAAGAGGCTCATATATATATATAAAAGTCGTAGACGGTTGCAGGGTCTCAAATCGTAAAAAAAATGATGACACAAATAATTTAAATAAACTGGCAGGAGCATTAGTTACTATCAGTGCAGATAGTTACTCAACCATCCGTTGGAAGTGCTCAGCAAGAAGAGAGAGCATCCAATATAGTTCCAGAGGTAGAAAGTTTCGTGCGAATTATCAATTCAATGTTTCAACAAGTCTGTACACAACAAAGGATACACTGCTTTATCGAAATATTAAATATTTTAAAGAATTACCAAAATAAAAATTAAGTTTTACTTTATTATTTTAAATTACAGCCAACTTCAGTTTTACAGAGTCGAGTGTAAACACCATATATCATTTTTCCAGAAACGGATATTATAAGATTTTCTTGCTTTGTAGTAGGTTTTTGTGTTATACGAATTTATTTTTATTAAGTAAAAGGACACGGAGAAGATGATAGATTTGTCCTTTAAATAATTATTATGAAAGGCATCTTAATGTGGATTTTCACGTGAATTTGTTTAACGAGATCAGACAAACTGATCATGACACATTTTTATGTATACGTGTATGTGGCTACATATGTTTAATGACCTTTTAATTTGAGTTCGTCCGTTTCTGGAAAAAAGTGGCCCGCGGCGTTCACACTCTGTACAACTAAAGTCGGCTAACTTTATCGTAAGTACAGTTTTTGGACACTATCTTTAGACAATTTCTTTTGGAAAGATTAAGTTTTATTTTAGTGTCTTTTATTTGATCTCAACATTGTTATTATTTGTTTTCTTCTAATTTTGATCAGTGTTGAGTTTATAAATGCAATTATGTATTTTTAAATTTTATCATTTAAAAAGAAGTATTGAATTTATGTTGTGTTTATATACACTGTTTATATGTATACAAAGTCTATATAAAGTTATCTTCTTTAAGTTTAATTAATTTATATAGATCTTAAATGTCTTATTCGTCAATACATTGCATATCTTTCTTGTAACAAAACTTTTTTAATAACATTACAAAACTACATGTTTACATTTACTTTATATAGCCACTTTATTAGAAAAAAGCCAACATTTTTTCAAAACAGAATACAAAGTGTAATAGGTCTTATTTAAATAAAAAATAAATCCTTGTGCAAGTTTTAACTTATCTTTATTTATTTTACTTATGCCTAACTTGTCAAATTTATAATTTTAATTCAGCTAACGAAAAACAATCATATTTACTTTAAATCTTCCTATCATTCAATATATACAATATATATGAAAACGCATTATATTATATAAAATAATAATTATAATATGAAAAATAATTTTTTGTGTTATGTGCGAACTTATTTTTATTAAATAAAAGGACACAAAAAAGTGGTGGATTCGTCCTTTAAATAATAAATAAAAAATAAAAATAAAAACAAATATTCTTGATATTCATGTACAAGTATCAAATAGATAGTTTTGACTCTAGAAAGATTCATAAATTATCTTTCAGTACTATATCTGTTATAGATATTTAAGAATATCTCAGTCTCTTCCAAATAATCTACATCTATATTTACTAATCGCATTTAGAAAATAATTTATATCTACTATCACATTTAGATATATATTCACTCAATGTAGTAAAATAGTCGTAAATCTTATTTAAATAAAAAAAATCCTTTAGCAACTTTTAACTTATTTTTATCTATTTTACTTATGTCTTATTTATCTAATAATTGTAATTTTGTAATTGTAACTCATCTAACAAAAATAGTCATGTTTAATTTAGATCTTAGTCTTGCAATGAAGTTAAAGCTCTTACAACATGGACAATTTGAGTGTGATGATCGTGAAGAAAAACAATCTGTAAATAAAAAAAGAATGATAAAATTATAGTAACATTGCGACATTTTTAAATAATATTATTTTTATCGCCAATTAACCAAGTAATAGATTAAAAACATAAATTGCAAATTTTAATTACACCTATGTATTAATGTTGGCACTTCTAAAAACATATTCGTATTGCCAGGGGGTTTGTCTGTATCCAACATCTGTTACAAAATATTCGCACAAGACATCTCTTTGTGCTTTAGCAGCATTTGAGCCTGAATTACCTCCCATTTTTCGGATATTCTCAAATAATGTTCCTCTTTCTGCTATACCACGCCATACTCCTTCCATTATTTCATAATCTGCATTTTCATGATCGATAAAATTTTGTGGACAATAGCGTCGCCGAGATGTTTCAAATCTTTCCTCCATGATCATAATATAATTATGCAAACAAACTAAAGCTTTTAATACTTCTTTTAAATTAGTTAAAGAGAATTTTAGAGGTTTATTGAGAATTTGCCAGCGTGCACAAAGAATAACAAACGTGTTTTCTATACTTAGGCGTGCTCTTGACAATCTATAGTTAAAAATCCTTCTATTTTCAGTTAATTCTTTTTTACTATAAGGTTTTAATATATGCAGATCAAGAGGGAATATTTCATCGCCTACAAATACATGATTGGTTTTTATTGCTGTCCCTGGGAGATATCGAAGACCAGGAATTTCAGCAGTTTTTCTCGCACTCTGGCTGCCAATTCAGTATTACTCCATACACCGCTGTCGCTGATACCTCCTGTAAAAAATATGAAAGAAGAATCATGGATCAATTTTTTTAAACATTGCAACCATAATTAAATTTCCAATACAAGGTGTTTATTTACCACATTGCCCAATGTCCACCCACACAAATTTATGATTTGCATCACATATTGCCAAAAGAACAATGCTGAAGTACTTCTTATAATTAAAAAATTGACTTCCTGAATGAGTTGGAGCTTCAATTCTAATGTGCTTTCCATCAAGAGCTCCCACACAATTAGGAAACTGCCACTTCTCGAAGAAATCTTCAGCAACTTCAGACCATTTCAGTTCATCAAGTTCGGGAAGAACTATTGGTTGAAGTGCCTGCCACAATGCACGACAGACTTCGTGAATAATGGCATATACAGTGGAGCGTCCAATACGAAATTCCCACGCTTTGGAATTTACACTATCACCATGTGCAAGAAACCTATACGAAGTGTGAAAGAAATTTTAGATGCGTAAACATTTAGATACATATATAATTATCAATAAATATAATGACATAACTTATCCTAACCTACAAACTCTACTTACGATAAAGTTAGAGCCAACTTCAGTTGTACAGAGTGTGGACGCCGTGGACCACTTTTCTCCAAAAACGGACGAACTCGAGTTAAAAGTTCATTAAACATATGTGGCCACATACGTGTATACATAAAAAATTGCTCATGATCAGTTTGTCTGATCTCTTTAAACAAATTCATGTGAAAACCCACATTACGATGCTTTTCATAATTATTTAAAGAACGAATCCACCATCTTCTCTTTCGTGTCTTTTTTCTTAATAAAGACAACTTCGCGTAACACAATAATCCACTACAAAGTAGCAAAAATAGTTGACGTTGTTCGGCATCCATTTTGATGTACTGCGACATTAACCTGCAATGTAGACATTCAAATCGCAAGATTCCTGCGACTTCTTATTGCTTGCGACTATGCGATTGGCTGCTTGCAACTAATGTAGAACCGGCTTAAGAAGCAGCAATGGTCGTCGCTAGATATGAGTCGCGAATAGCGTCGAATTTCCAGCTATAATTATCCTTTGAGCTATGATCATTCTCTGTTCATATCAAAAC